TTATTTTTTAATGAGAAATATTTGAAAATGTATCAAAATTATTTTAATGAATAATTTGTTTTATATGAAAGTAGCATTAATTTCCGTATGTACTTTATAATTTTGATTTAAAGATACTTTTCATTATTATTAAAGTAGAAAAAACATAGCTGAAGTATATAATAAATTGTTCCTATATACAGTAGAGCATCAATTATCTGAATCAATTGGGGACTAGAATTGTTCGGAAAATCGATTTTTTGGATAACCGATTATGTACGAAAAAATATATTAACCTATCCCATGTTGAAATTCATTCAAATCCTGGCACGTCCTTAAGTATCCTCTCATGGTCACGCCAGTGCTGCCAGCTAAAACATGCACACAAACAAAAATAATATTGGAGTAGCCCAAGACATAGCCAAAGATTGCAGCGTCACAGCACAAGTGGAAATTTAAATTTGCCGACTGGAAAACTTTCGTTTAATTGATGTTTTGGTTGATCGACATTTGGATAGTCAATGCTGTACTGTATTTATTATCATAATAATATATTTTATATATTTCAATTAACTAATATTATATATATATATAAATATACGAAATAACGAAATATAAAACTTTTATCTTTTCACCAGATTTTGATGTCATAAACATACAATATGTACCCAATAAAAATGCTTTTTGTATATTCAATGTGTAGATACTGTACAATAAAGATTAAAATTTTTAATAAAATATTGCACTAACCTAATGCTGTAAAATTATAATTGCTTGAATATTATTCCTATAATTACTTTGTGATATTTAAGAATAAATATCACATAGAAAACTATACTCATTTCCATCATTAGTAGTGTTGAGTACTTATTAAAAAAAATACATAACAATTGTCTTTTCTTTATAAATTTAGTAGTACTATTAATTTATTAATTTGACTAACCTGTATTACGACCAGGAAAGAAGAATTTTAACATGGTGGTGACAAAAGCATATGTCAATCCAATTGTTATTGGAATCACATTCAGTTCTAAATGTTCTTTAACTGGTATACCACCCACTGGAGCTCTTTCTCTACAGAAGATCCTTAAAGCTCTTTGCCTGTCTAATGGAATATTAGGTTGAAGTTCGGTTGGTTGAAGGACAATCTATTAAAATACACGATAATAAATTTCAAAATATTGTGAAAGAACAATTTTTATAAAGGACATACCTTATAGTGTGAATTTGGTAATAAATTAGTCATTTTAACATAACCCAGCTCCAGTAAATGTTCTACGGAATCATCACTTTTTGTAACTTTAGAATATCTGTAAGTCCAAATATATATATATATTTTTTTCAATTTTTCTTAAATTATTCAAATCATATCTACAAAAAAATCAAAATAATTATAAATTTACAATAGTTAATTTTAGAAATATTAAACAAATGATGTTTTTCTGCAGTTGGGAAAAAATATTAATCCATAGAAACACACTTAAAAATTTGCATATAACATAACAAAACAGTAGTAAAGTTTCAACTTTTCTAATAATATTTTTGATACTTTATTATTTTTTAAAAATATTGTACTACATAGTATTAATTATGCAACAATTATGAATATGACAAGACAATAATTAGAATGGAAACTGTGTTTACATATATTTAAAATGGATCTTGAGTAAAATTACACTGAAAATCACTATCCGAGTAGCAAACTAGGGAAAAGATTGTCATTCTAATTTGTAATTTCAATCAGATGATATATTTCACAAATTTAAAATATCAAAGAAATCAAGTCTTCATTTTTCCATTGTGTCCAATTGCCAGCAAAAAAATTACTAGTGATTGGACAAGACGGAAGAATGAACTAGACTTGATATCTTCAATATTTTAAATTTTTAGATATTAATTGAAATTATTTTATATTTATAAAAAAACAGAATAGTTACTTTTATAATATAATCTTCAAATATTTTAATACTAGCTTCAATTTTGACAATCATACCAATAAAAATGACATAACTTTCAATATCAAGCACATCAAATACTGTATTATTAATACTTATGACATTAATACAAAGCCAATGTTCTCATTTTTCATCTCACAATAATGTTATATATATCTTGTAGTTAATACCTATATAATAAATTTATCAAATTTCTATTCTCAAATATTCACTTAATCCAATAATTTGTACAGAAGTCTAGATTCAGAAACAAGTGTGGGATCTACTTATTAAAACCGCATTGCCAAATCAATAATGACTATCTTGATTATCTTGACCTAATTTTCGAGGGTCACACAATTATTAACTTTCAAAAACAGTTTAAAATAAATTTATATACGTTTAAGTTATTAAGTTGTCGAGTAAGACTAGCTAATTTGAAACAATTTAAAACAGTCAAATTTAGGAATTAAAAAGCAAAAAAAAAAAAATATCTACTTATGTTTTTAAAGACAATTTGCAATTTAGTAATTTGTATGTCTTGACATTGCCAATTTTTATGTATCTTACATATTATTAACAATTTAAAACAACTTACAAGAAATTATTCAGCACTAGATCTGCAATTCCAAGCTGGCCGTCAGCATCAGTCAGTCTCCATCGCGCATGTTTGAAGCAAACCTCGCTCCTCCGCACCACTGATATTCCCTGTCCAGGTGCTGCAGCTCTCTGACGTGTTTTGGTGGCCCTAACTTGTTTTTCTTTAAAACAGCTGATCATCATGGCCAATTCTTCACTGGATGCAGTCAATTGTTCTTTTTGCTCCGAAACCTAAAGAAATTAAATTACAAAAGGTTTTTTAGATTTTTTTAATTAATACAAAGGTTCGTAATTAGATTACAGACAACTAACAAAATTAAGCAAGAAAATTTCTAACAGAACTTTTATTTTTCAACAAAATTACTATAAGCATTCGGGCACACATTATACTGGCTTCTGAAAATATGCTGCTTAAAAATCTGTCAATTGTTGTTGAAGCCACTACAATACACATTCTTGTATCTCTTTCATCATTTGAAAATTGTTTGCCACTCAAGTGTTCTCTTAAAGATACAAAAAGGTGGTAATCATTCAGTTCCAAATCCAGGCTCTATGATCACCTTTTTGGATTTTTGTTGAAAAAAAAATATTCTGCTGAATTTGAAAAATGGCTTTTCACCAATGATTTGGTCATGTACAGGTACTTGTGGAAAACTTTTTTACTGTATTATATGTTAGAAATTTTCTTGGTTTTGGTAAGTGTCTGAATGTAACCTAACTACCAAACTCCCCTCAAACAGAATTATCTGTAAATATCTCTTTCTTGCTTATTGACATTAAAGAAAAAGCACACCAATAAATATTTATATTATATAACAAACTCCCCTCAAACAGAATTATCTGTAAATATCTCTTTCTTGCTTATTGACATTAAAGAAAAAGCACACCAACATATATTTATATTATATAACAATACTTTTGTTTGATAATATGTTTACATTGTAAAAAGAAAAATAATTTAATATGCCTTAAGCACTATAAAAACAATCTGGTTATACAGGTTTAAAAGTTATTCATAACATTGTAACAATTATATTTACTA